CTCAAAAGCACCCAGAAGGCAATTTATGCTGACAAAATGGCCAGAACTATAGAAAAATTGAATAAAAATTTTTAAATGAAAAACTTTGTTGGACTTCAACCAACCTGCTTACACACACACACACACACACACACACACACACACACACACACACACGTACATACACACACATACAGACAGACAGACACACGCACATACACAAACCTGCCATCGCGCGTACACACAAATATATAGTGTGTATGAACACAGAAAGTCATTTTCAAGCCTTGAACTATAATCAGATCATTTCATTTCTAAAATTTTATTAAGCTCTACCCTGATGATGACTTGCTAATGTCGAAAGCTCGGACCATATTACTTTTACTTTTATTTCCGACATGAACATTGACAAGTTTTCCTGTTCGTAATTTGGAAAAGACAATCATTAAATATAAACGTCGACATAAAATTTATGTAATTTTTAATTGTATTTGCCTTAAATATATATTATATATCTTTCTAACACACGCTCTCTCTCTCTCCCTATATATATATATATATATATATATATATATGAGTAGACACTGAAGTCAACATCGAATGGCAACAGTCGGTTTCAGGCTTAAACACAATCTTCAGTTTAATTTCTGGCCTTAAGCATGAAACAGACTGACACCAGTAATTATTGAACTCAGTGTCTATTCTTATATTTATAGATTCGCTGTCTTGGATACTGACTTATTTTACTTATAACTATAGCATACCATAAAACACTATATATATATATATATATATATATATATATATTAAGAAATATACTCTTAAGGTGTGCTATATTTATGAGATAAAGTGCTCAATATCAGAGATAGAGCGTGTGTAAATATAATATATATAGATTGCGTCTAGCATGAAACAGCCTGTCACCTGTAAGTGTTAACGTCAATGTTCACTTTTATATATATATATATATATATATATATATATATATATATATATGTGTGTGTGTGTGTGTGTGTGTGTGTGTGTGTGTGTGTGTGTGTTTAATTTAATTTAAATGAAAAAACAGACCACTTTAAGGTTCCATTGTAATAATTTATTTCACCAAAGAATTTTATTTTTCGCTGGATCTTCAGACTTCACTTTCAAAGGTGAAACGAAAAATGAATTTAAAATTTACACTTTTGATGAGCAGTATTACGCTTATATAAGTTGAATTAGAGGGTGATGAGGAATGGTGTGAGAGACAAGGTCGAGTTTAGAGAGGAAAAGGAGAGTTTAAAATTTATCTTTATATTTCTTTTTATTTAAATACGTAATATTGAGGAAGGGATAATCGGTTAATTTAACGGAAGTGATATAGGAAAAGGAAAAAAGAAAAAAGGGAAAAAGAAAAAAGGGGGAAGTAAAGAGATTAGAGGATATTTACTTGACCCCCCACTCACTGAGTCAGGATGTGACACAAGGTCAGTTTTTTTAACGTGAGGGTCCGAGTGTTTTCACTCGGGCCGCTGGTCTAAGCTGGTCTTAGCTGGTCATAGTTTGTCCAAGCTGGTCAGAGCTGGTCTAAGCTAGTCATAGATGGTCTTGGCTTGTCATAGCTGGCCCAATCTAGTCAGAGCCGGTCCAAGCTAGTCGTAGCCGTGATACCACCAGCACAAGGATGGAACCCTGGGGCAGGTAAGAGATCTACGTGGGGTTTTTGGGGGAAGGAGAAGGGTGGTATAACTTTAGCAATTTAGATAAAAACAGCTTTTAACGTTTGATAGTAATTAAAATGTTTATATATATATATATATATATATATATATATATATATATATATATATATATATATATATAAAAAAAAAACTTTGACAAATGGAAAACGTTTCATTGAAAGTCGATTTATGGTCGCGTTTCACTTTTCAAGGCTTCATCAGATCTAAAAAACGAAACAAACGCCCCCACCCACCTCAAATTTTGGTCACACTGTCCCAGCTATGGGTTAAATAGCAGGTCTTGCATCTGGAAAAAAAGTCATTGTTATTCTCAAAAAAATCTTAATGCAACATTCACTAACAAAAAATTAATTATTATTACAACCCAATTTATGTTTCGACTTTGAATAACACACAACAGATCGACAAGCCGTTAAAAACAAATCGATCAATCGATCTCATTTAATAAGGTTGGAAAGGAAATTCATTAAATAAGGCTTTGTATTAAACTTGCTTAAACGGCAGTTACTCTTATTAACCAATACATAGACTGATATGAAAAAAGGTTTGATATGTGAGTTTTTAACGATCGAATTAATCTGAAAGACATACATATTCACATTGGTTTGAAGACGAAACAACGGAAGGGAAAGAGGTAGTCGCAATGGCACAATATTTAGAACTTAATTTTAACGATAAAAACAGTTAAAAACGCAGTTAATTATCCCAAGACGTGGGGGAGGCAGTTGATACCCACGTGGTGGTAGTGGATGCAGATAGAAGCTCCACAAACCCACATTACGCTACCCGCTAATGACCTCATT